ATCCTTTCATTCCAGCCCTCATTATTCTATCAGATTCTTTTTGGAGCTGGAAAGAGACCTTGGGAATTCTTTCTTCCAGCAGAATTTGGATGAACCAGGAGCATACTTGAGGGTGTGGGGGAGTGTCTGCAGGTGTGGAGTAGAGGTGGTATTTTCTAACGGACTGGGCCTTGCCACTTCCAAGACCAGTGGAAATGAGGGTCTGGCCTGGCAGAAGGGACCTGCTTCCTCACCTCCACCCTGAGCTCCTCAGACATGACAAGCCATGTCAGAAAGACATTGGAAAAGTGAGATTTGGAATGACCTGGGCAGAAGCTCATGCTGACTCTTTTCATTGTACACGAGTAGAACTGTGATTTTTCAGCCAGTGTTCTGTGAGTGGAGTCATCCTGTGCCTGCCTGGTAGGTCCTGAATCCAAATAGAGAGATCCAGCTGTGGGGCAGGTTGGATTCGGGGCCAGTTTGGTTTTGTGGCCCTGTATATTCAGGGCACTGTGTCAGGAGCTGCAGGACAAGTCTGGGCTGGTGATAAGGATTTGGGGAAATTATGAATTGCTTAAGGCCACAGTTGGTGGTCCACCTGGGAGCACGGGGCGCCTGCTTTCTCCAAACCCAATTCCTCCTGCCGTGTCCTGCTGCTAAAGCTCTTCTTAACTAGTTCAGTCCCACCGGGAGACCCACTAATGAAGCGTTGGTGCCACAGTAACAGGTGTTTCCTAGGGCTGACAGCAGTGGAGAGGCACAGGGCAAAACTACCCAGAGGATCCATTGTTAGGGGCAAGAAGGAAGGGCACCAGGGAGGGAGGACTTAAAATATATATATTTTTTTTGTTGTTGTTTGAGAACTGCAAGGAGATCCGTGTTTAGGAAAACTTGGGAAGAAAACCACCCACAATTTTTCCACCCTAATACAGCTAATTATATTTTAACAGATTTTCTGTTTGTCTCAGGCAGTCCACAATACATAACTCACGTCTTTATGCGTACTTGGAATCACAGCTAGCCTATAGAGTTTGTTTACCTAACCTCGTACATTTTCCTTATTTCTGCCTCATCTTTGTAATTATTTTCCATAACGGCTGAGCAGTACTCTGGGGTGTCAGAAGGCCATCGTTCTGTGTCCCTGGGGCTGTGGAATGGGCTGGTTCCTCTCTCCCCCTCCTTAAGCTTGTGCTCTAGAGAACTTTCTGACACCTTCAGCCTTGTGCTTCTGTGCCCTTGCTGCCTTGGAGAAGCAGTTCCAGGAAGGGGACTTTGAAGTCGGTAATCCAGGCATGCAGACAGTTTTGATATTTGTTTTTACTTTTATTTATTTATTTATTTATAATATTTATTTTTTCATTGTAGTTGGACGCAATACCTTCATTTCACTTATTTATCATTATGTGGTACTGAGGATCAAACCCAGGGTCTTGCATGTGTGAGGTGCGTGCTCTACCGCTGAGCCACAAACCCAGCCCCTGATTTTACTTTTATTTACATATTATTTATATATATATATATATATATATATATATATATATATATAAAATATTTATTTACCTGGGGGTTAAACCCAGGGCCTCGTTCATGCTAAGCCCACTACCACTGAGCTACACTCCCAACCTTGCATTTTTATATGTATCATGCAAATACAGATGTGCAAATAAAGCAGAGGTGTAGCTGAGTGAGTTATGAGGAAGCAGATGCCACTACTCGGCTCAGGAGACAGCTTCCTGCTAGCCAGAGCCCTCTGCGCTCCCTTCCTGCCAGGAGCTGCGTTACTCTGACTTTATTGTAATTGCTTCCGTGTTCATTAAGTTTTGTCACCCAAGAGTGCATCCAAGACATGACAGCTGGATTTTGCCTTTAAAAAAGGTCTTCTAGGGGCTGGGGTTTGGCTCAGAGGCAGAGTGCTCCCCTAGCATGTGTGAGGCACTGCGTTCGATTCTCAGCACCGCATATAAATAAATAAAATAAAAGTCCATTGACAACTAAAAAAAAAATACACACACACACAAACATATATATATATATTAAGCCTTTTAAATTTCTTAACCTATAGGAGTCCCCTCCATCTCTTCTCTTCCCTCTATTGTTTGTTGAAGAAAGAACCTGGATCATTTGCCCTGAGAGGTTTCTAGGACTTTCCCCAGGCTGGGTCTCCTGGAGAGAGGAGTTGGAGCCAGAGGTCACTCAGGTGGGTGTTCTGCTCCGGGCAGTACACAGGAGCGGGGATTCTCCTGCGGGGAAGTGAGTAGCCACTGGAGCCCAAGCGCAGAACCTTCCATTCATTAGGGGCTGCAGAGTGTTGAAAGGGCAGTTTCTCTTGTTCCTTCATTATTCGTTTGTTGGACTATTTCAGTAAAGAAAAACTCCACCCATCTGCTTTTTAAAAATAGCTTCATGGAGGTTCACATGTCCTACAGTTCACCCACCGAAAGTATGTAATTCAGTGGCTTTTGGTACATTTAACAGAGCTCTGCATCTGTCACCACAATTAATTTTAGAACATTTCATTGACAAAACGCCACTCCTTTTGCTGCCACATCCTAAACCCTCCAGCCTTTAGCAGCCACTAACCTAACTTCTGTCTCTATGGATCTGCCTACTCGGGACATTTTAACAGGCACATGTACAATATGTGATGCTGTGTGATTAGTTTCTTTCATGTCTTCTAGGTCCCTCCACATTGGTTGCATATGTCATTCCTTTTTATGGCCAAAAAATATTCCATCAGATACATGCAGTAGCATTTGTTTATTCATTAGTTGATGACTATTTGGTGCTACTTAACCCTTTGGATATGATGAATAATATTGCTAGGTAGATTCACGTATAAGTTTTTCACAAACATATGTTTTTATTTCTTGGGTGCATACTTAGGAATAGACTCACTGGGACGTGGTAAATCCGTGTTTAACCATTTGAGGAACCATGAGACTGTTTTCCAATGTGGTTGCATGAGTTTTTATTCCCATCAGCAATATTATGAGAATTCCAATTTCTCCAGTGTGTTTTGCAATGTCTTTTTAATCCTAGTGGGTATGAAGCAGCATCTAATTATGGTTTTATTTGCATTTCCCTAGTGAGTGATGATGGTGAGCGTCTTTCATGTGTGTTTTGGCCATTTGTAGATCTTTGGAGAACTATCTAAATGTGTTCTTTGGCCATTTTTCAATTGGGCATTTGTCTTTTATTATTGAATTGTAATAGTTCCTTATGTATTCTAGATAAAAGTCCCTAGCAGATGTGGTCCACTCTCTATATCCATTTACTTTACTGACTTGTGGATCAAAAGTATTTTTTAAAAATTGCATCTGTGTTGAACATGTACAAACTGCTTTACTTGTTATTAGTCCCTAAATAATACAGTATAACAACTATTTACATAGCATTTGCATTGTATTATAAGTCATCTAGAGATGATTTAAAGTATACAAGAGGATGAGCATAAGTTATATGCATGTACTTCACCATTTCTATAAGGGGCTTAAGCATCTGTTGATTTTGATATTCTCAGTGGGTCCTGGAACTAGTCCTTCCTCAGATATAGAGCAATGACTGCATATGATTTGCAAAATATTATTGTATTTTGGGTTGCCTTTGTAGTTTCTTGGAAAAAAAATTTTTTTTTTTTCAGTGCCAGGGATTGAACTCAGGGGTAGGCACTTGACACTGAGCCACATCCCCAGCTCTATTTTGTATTTTATTGAGAGATAGGGTCTCACTGAGTTGCTTAGTGCCTCGCCTTTGCTGAGGCTGGCTTTGAACTTGTGATCTTCCTACCTTAGCCTCCCTAGTGGCTGGGATTACAGGCGTGCACCACTGTGCTTGGCTCTTGAGATCTGGATATCTTTTCAGAGTGTAAAAGTTTTGCAATTTGATGTCCAGTTCATTTTTTCTCTTGTGGCTTGTACTTTGGGTGTCTTATCTCTACACCATTGCTTAACCCAAGGTCATGAAGCTTGGTGCCTGTGTTTATTCTGAGAGCTTTAACTGTTTAACTCTCACGTTTAGGGCTGTGGTCCACCTGGAGTACATACACTTCTGTGCCCACTGGCCACCCGTAGCTGCAATTTTAGGCAGAATCAGTGCCGGATTCTTCCTCTTCATCTACCAGTTTTGGTATTAAGGAGTTGCTTCTCTAGTATGAAACTGTGTGTTTCCTTTGTTGTTTTCTTTGACTCTTAGATTTAAACATATTTGCAATGGTGTAGTTTTTACTGAGCTGGGTGCCTTTGTTCTGTTGGAGCGATTACTGATGAGTACTTTCTGTTTGTTCAAGACTTCAATCTTCTTGGAATGATTTCTCATTTGTGATCTCCTTAGTCTTCCTAAGGAGAAGCTGGGAGAGCAGCTACCACTAGGCCTACTTTACAGAGCAGGAAGAGAAGCATAAGGAGAAATGACTTGTCCCAGGGCACAACCACTAATAAGTGCAGGACTTGAACCCTGGGTCTGACTCTTCTTGTGCTTGTGTCCCAGCTGTATGCCACACGGTCAAAACCCTGAGATAGACCTGGAATTTGAGCTTCAGTCCTAGTTCTGTGGTCTGTGATATGCAGGAGATCTTTTGTTCTTTCTGGGATTTGGTTACTTGCTCTGTGAGATTGGAAGAGCCAGTCCCAATCTAGAATTCTGAGCAGATTTCCTCATGTCACCTGCAATGAGAGACAGCCCAGGTCTTGCTGCTCTGGGGTGGAGCCCCATCAGGAGCATCTGATGGACAGAGCTCACCATCACACACAAATGTTGGTCCATATGGCTCCCTTTTTGTCAGGAGAGACTAGTGAGGGTTAGTGATGGTTATCCCCTTATATAGTTGACCTTTATTCTAGCATGTGATGTTTGAATTTCTTTAAGTATGAGTTTGTATTATACTTGAATAAAATAATTAAATTTGTAAAAACTTGTGTGCATGTATACAATGTAAAAGAGAGAAGTGGGTTTTTTTTAATCCTTTTGTTTCTTATCCGGCTCTCACACTCTAAATTTTCATCTACCCGTTTGTCTTCCAGAAACATGCCAAAGGCCAGGATTTGTTTGATCAGATCGTGTACCACTTGGACCTTGTGGAAACAGATTACTTTGGCCTCCAGTTCCTCGACTCTGCCCAGGTCACAGTATGTATTGCTTTAATTTCATTTCAGGACAGATTGGCTTTTGATGCTAATTGCAGATCCACAGTTGCTAGAAATTGGTAGAGAAAAATAGGAGTAAAACTGTGACACTGTTCCAGTAAGGAGCATTGGCAGCTGTGATAGTGCCTGAGTGGAGTACAGGCACGGTGCTGTGGGATGCTTCCCACTCCAAGACAGCCAACAACCAGGAGAACTGGTGCACAGGAAGCATTAAGGAAGCATTTCTGAGCATAGGGATGCACGGTGGACACATTTCTAGAGAATGTTGGAGGAAGAAGAAATATTATGGAAAATATTGCATCGGTATTGCTTTTATTTTTTAAGCAGCAAGATAGGCCTCCCCACCATCTTCTTATACAGCCTGGCTAGGTAGGGAGAGGGTCTTGTGAAGGTGGCTGAGGCCCAGCCAGGCTGGGGGGCAGTCAGAGCAGGCCGTGGCCCTGCACCAGGACCATCTTGCGGGCTCCAGGAGGGATATTGGGTCATCCCAGACTTCTCTTGCTGTCCCAGAGGCACAACTGCTCACAGTGGAGGTGCTAGAATGAGTGATCTCCACAGAGCTCAGAACCACTCTTTGGAAAGTAGCAATGACTTCATAGTCCCCCTTCCAACAAGAGATTTGGGTTTCAAAGATAATTAACTCAGTTATCTAAAAATGTTGGTTGAGGGCCTGTGATGCACTGGGCCCCATTCTGAGCATCGTGGATAAAAGTGGTGATCACAGATGGTGTAAGGATAGGAGGGGACAAGAGGAGGCAGAGTTAAGCGAGGAAGAGTAAGAGGAGGAGTGGGTGCTGAGGCAGAGTGTCTTGAGGCAGGGGTCCCTGGGAACACCTTCCAGCTGGATACCTGAAGCTTCTCATACCTAAAAGACACTTACCAGTTACCTCTGGGGGACCACATGTGACAGCTGTTAGCTGCCCAGACTGGTGTCTGGCCATTGGGGCTGCTGGAGATGCCCCGCCCTGGGGTGGGCTATAGAGTGGAATCTGGAGGGAAAAGCCCCTGGCTGTAGTGCCCCCTGGTGGTCCTCCCAGGTGGGGCCCTGGGCATCCACCTCTGCACCTTAGGACTTCCTGTCTGCCCTTACCCCACAGTTGCTGCCACCTTGGCCACATGGTCCTGATTCCTTCCCTGTCCCTCAGTTGGAGACTCTCACTGTGGCCCTGGGGGGATGCCTCCCTGTTTTTTGTCTCTGCCTCCCCTTCAGTTCTGCTTCCTTGGAGTTGAGCAGCCCCGGACCCTGCCCTCTGGTCTCAGGATTGTCCTTCACATCCCTCGGGGCCTCTGTGTCTCAGTTGTTTTCTTCCCCTGGGCAACCTCAGGATTCTAGCTGCTGACCCTTCTGAGTATTCTGGGCACTGTTTCCTTTCATTTAAGCAAATCTGACTCAGATTTCTTTGGGGGCCTGTTATCACTCCCAGATCCAGAATCCTGCCATTCCCAATTTCATGGTATTGTCTCTCGATTCCGTCTTTCTGGCCCCTCTCCTTCTGGTCTTGGCTTTAAGGGGCCCTTCCTGTCTTATTCCCATTTCCCAGCCTCCCCCGCCCTCACCTCCCTCCCTGCCTGAGCCGAGCCTCAGCTGTCTCACTGTGTCCTCCCTTAGCCCTCGGTTCCCCTGCCCCCGTGTCTGCTCCCTGGCCGCCCCTTCACATGCAGGCCCCTCTGTTTTCTCCGTGGCTTCTCCTGGGCTGCCAAGTGGTGCCGGAGAGTCACTGCTGTGCCCTTTGGCATCAGCAGAGATGACAAGTTCAGCAAAGTCCAAGCCCTGGACCGGTGCTTCGAGCCTTGGCAGACCCCCACGGGATGCCAGGTGCCCACAGTTCCCTTTCTAGGGAAGTTCTCCCACTGAGCCACACCCCAGCCCTTCACAGCTCCCGTTCTGAGGTGTGACCACGACCTCTAGTCCCCACCAAGTCTGTCCAGCAGCTGTCCTCACCTGCTGTTTCCTTGCCCTGTACCTCCAAGTTTCTCTTTCTCTCTCTCCATCCTCTTGAGATAGAGAAAAGAGTCTGCCTATTCCTGCGCTTTCTCTCTGTACCTGCTGCCATGGTCCCATTCCATCTGCTTCCTGAGCGCCACCATCAGAGTTCTCTCTCTGCTCAGTGTCCTCCAGCTGTCCTAGCTGGACCCCTTCAGCCTCCTCCCTGAGCCTCCTCTCTGTTCTGCCTTCTGTGTGTCATAAAGCATGTGCTGTCTGTGGCTTCAGAATGTCTATAGCCCTGGCTCAGGAGTCAGGTCTGGACCCTGTTCCTGGCTCTGCTGCTGACCCATCGGGTGGGCTTAGATTGGCCACCTTTTCTCCCTTGGCCTCAGTTACCTCATCTGTGAAGTGGGGTTCTTGGACCTGTTTTCTAAGAGCTTTCCCTGTTCTCGGGGTCAGTGACTCTTGAGTCTGAGGGGGTGGGGCAGGCGCACTCGCCCCTCTAGTTGGGGAGGAGAAGGTACCACTGTTATTTGAGCAAGTGGCTGTTATCTTGGATGCATGTCCCATCCCCAGGTGACCCCTCTTCATCCGCTCAGCTTCCCAAAGCTGTGGATGTGACTCCATGGCCAAAGACTTTGCTGTGAACCTCTGCCAGTGTGCTGTCACTGTGCGTCAGGAGGGGTGTTCCCAGCGTGACTCAGGCATCCTTCCCAGGTTTCGAAGCCTCTCCAGCGTCTTGCTCTCTTGCAGCGGCAGGCAAGAGGGTGCAGGAGCAGCCTCCAGGACCCTTCCTGTCGTCCTTCAGCTTCTCAGCCACATCCTGGTGGTCCACCCTTCTCTCTGTGCGTGGGATGAGCTGTCCCCCTCCCTGGAATGCCCTCTCGCCATCCTTCAAGCCATCTCAGCTGTCCCCCATTCATGAAGCATGTCCCCAGCTCCTAGAGTGTTTTCCTCTATGTAAACCTGGAGTTTATTTGCCTTCTGTGGTGGTTTGCTCACCTGGCCTCAGGTTTCTTATTTGAGTCTATAAACAAAACTTCATGACTAGATCCTAAAGCTTAGGACTTCCTTTTCTTAACTTGGTGACTCCTAGGAACAAGGCAAGCAAACTGGTACCTTCTACTTTACCCCAGAAGGGACCTTGGGAGAGGCATTTGTCAAACCTTTACATCTTCTGGATAGTGAAACCAAAGCCATTAGACCCTGGCAAGTCACTTAGTAACTGGTGCAGCTTGGACTCAAACCCAGGTTTTGTGATTTCACTTGTATGTGTTCATTCTAGTGCACTGTGCTCTTGAGTCTGCGCCTATCTGTAAAGTGGAGTAACACTTATTTCACAGGGAAATTGAGGAGCCCACAGTGGGTTAATGGATAAGAATAGATTTCTAGTATGGGTTTCTTAGTATATTTTGTGTTGCTATAATAAAATACCTGAGGCTGAGTACTTTCTAAAGAGGTCTACTTAGCTGGATGTGGTGGTGCACACCTGTAATCCCATTGACTTGGGACTGAGGCAGAAGGATTGCAAGTTTGAAACCAGCTTGGGTAATTTAACAAGACCCTGTCTCAAAATAAAAAGGGCTAAGCTAAGGATATGGCTCAATGGAAGAGTATCCTGAGCTCAATCCCAAATACTGCAAGGGAGAAAAAAAAAGTCTATTTAACTCACAGTTTTAATGGCTGAAGGACCAGGATTGGGTGGCCCCATCTGGTTGGCCTCTGGTGAGGGCCTTCTGACTGTATCACAACATGACGGAGAAGCAGAAAGGGAAATGGCTGCATGCAGAAGGAGCCACGTGCATGGGGTAACTTTGCTTTACAATAACCCAGTCTTTATGAATTAATCCAGTCTGTAGAGACCTAACCCATTCTTACCAGGCAGGCATTGTGAAGATGAAGCCTCCATAACTAACTGCCTTCCATAGGCCCCACCTCTTATTTTATTTATTTGTTTTTTATGTGGTGCTGAGAATCGAACCCAGGGCCTCACAGGTGCTAAGTGAGTGCTCTACCACTGAGCCACACCCCCAGCCCTAGGCCCCACCTCTTAAAGGTCCCACGACCTCAACCCCGCCACACTAGGGACCAGGCTTCCATCACCTGAACTTTGTGGAGAGACAAACCACACCCAGACCATAGAAATCTCCTCCCCCTAGCTGGGCAGGCTGCTAGGGGCTAGGGTCCTCACGGGTGGGGCACACTGAGAAGGGTATGGTAGCTGGGACGTGTGAGTCTATGCTGTGTAGGGGAGAAATGGCAGCACATTTAAACAAGACCCCTTTGGGAGAATCTGCTGAGATGGCCTATGGGGTGACATCCATTTTCACAGGGCCTGGGAGGTGATTGGATGTCACAGAGATGTATCTGGGGAAAGCAGACTAACAGATGGGAACACAAAAGGAAACGGTTCACTTGGCCTTTGGCTTACTGCCCCACAATTGAGGCTCTTTCCTATACATAGATCCTCATGTAGCCCCTGACATGAGGACCAGCAGGTAGTGGCAGGACTTTGGGCACAGCTGTCTGTATACCCAGCTTATACCTCCAGCTCCCTGAAAGAGCCAGGCCTGGTTTCCATAGTGCCCTGCCCAGCCTTGAAGCAACCGTCAAAGCCTGTTGGCATCATCTATTTTTAGCAATCGGAGCTGGGACCTCATGTTTCCTTTTCCTTGTTAGAAGGGAAGGCCATCCAGGGTCCCACTCTGTGGCTTTCACTTTGGTGCACCTCAGAGCAGGGGCTGGGAGTCTAATTTGCGTGTCAGAGCTTGCTTCTCCAGGCTAAGGGCTCTGGCCTCCGTGCCCCTCCAGCTTTCACATGCCTGGTCCTGGTAGCTGCTGTTTACTGAGCTCCACCCTGAACCAGGCATTGAATTAAGGGCTCTGTATAACTCTTATGTAACATTCATGACTGATCTGTAAAGCTGGCCATAAAGCAGACCCATTTTACAGGTGACAAATTTGCAACTCAGAGACATTAGGAACCTTGTAAAGGTTAAAATAAGGACAATGCCAGAACTCATTCCATTTGGTCTCATTCCAGAACCCAGCACAT